AAAGAATTTCAAATACACGGAGTGAAAACTGCAAAGGGCATCCTTCTCCTCTCATATTTTCATTACCGAGATCACACAATTCCCATTCAGAGGGTAAAAACTGCATTTCCGAGTTGGCAGCGTGCCTTTGAAAAGGGGAGGAAGAAAAATGGAGGAAAAGTCACATTTGAGGTAACAGATAAAATGAAGGGCTGCACTATTTAGCTTCATTTTAGCCATTAGTTTCCCTCTGAAGGAAAGCTGCTGGGCTTTTTAATGTGATTGCCATGGAAGACTTTTAACAGGGTCTCGTGTAGTATTTGTGACATGGTATTCATTGACCAGGCCTCTCAAATAAAACTAGAGGAAAAACCCCAAACTAAGGCGAACATATCAAGCTTATGAGAACAGGAAAATCCAGCCAGAGCAGAACATCTGATTCTCATGCTTCCCCCAACCCTGGTTTCTAGTGTTATTTAGGAACAGGGAAGAGGTTCTGCCTCTTGAGCAGTCACTTCAGGACACATTTGCTGCAGCACATAAAAGGGATTAAACTGGACAGTTTAAGAAACCACTAAGCATTCTAAATCAAAAAACCCAGGCCCAAAATGAAATGTAAAAACCCTCCAGAAATCACATCTCTGCCCTACAACATGATTACAAGATACACCACAGGTAGAACCCCCACAAGCCCAGACAAGAAGCAAGGATTGATGAAGCATTCCATACTGTCCTGCATCCTACACATATCCTGCCTGGGAACACTGGTCACCTCAAACTGAGTACCAAGGAGATGGTATGCCAGAAAACAAGAGACGTGAAGAGAATCAGGCAACCCCTCACTGACTTCAGACTGGCACAGACTATTCAAACAGCTATGCAAAACCTCCAGTGTCCCCACCAGAATTAACTAGATCTTAACACCAAAATTAACCCAGCACCACCTTCCTACAAACCAGACAAGGCCTAAATTCACTCATTCAGACCCAAACCCTACCCTTGAAAAAGATGATGCCCTCTTTGTTGGAAAGACCTAGCGCATACTACACCTCGCACGCAATTCCAGTGCTCCTAACATTACAATGCTAAGCAAGGAAAAAAAGCCTGCGACACAAGCCAAGAGGAGCCAGGTCTCACTTTCCGATTCCAAGCTATCGCAGCTCATTGGCAGCACAGAGCCATTTGGTGCCAATTTAGTTTCAAAAACATATTTGCAACAACATTTTTCATGCCTCACTTGCTGCTAAAGTTGAGCTCGAAGTCAACAAAAAACAGCTATTACATGGCAACAGGCCCAAAAGCAGTTTGTCTTTATTAACATATGAGTTTTAAACCGCCTTCACTGAACTTTATAATAGAGACCTAGAGACATCAGCGCACCTATGGGGATGTTATCCGGGATGTCAATGATTCATGCGATCCAAAGACAAGCTCCCGTTACAGGAGACGCTGTCTGCCACCAGGAGAAATGCCCAGCTAGTAAAGGGAGGGAAGTCCTTCCTCTTCAATAGTTTCCTTTTAGTCCCAAGACTCTGGGAAAGCCAGCTGTATTATTAACAACTAATACGCTAAGGGAAAGGGGGTGGAAACAAATGCATGGTAGAGCTGGAAAAACTGAAAACTAAGATCCCTGGCCTGGTTTCTTCCAAGTCATTCCCACAGAAAACCACAGATTCCTCCTCATCCCACACGCTGTAAAAGAGCCATTCTGATCCCTTGATCCTATTCCACGTTTCCCAGCTATGAAGGTCATCAGAAACAATGCCAAGCCCTCTGCTGCAGCCCCTTCCAGCAGCGAGCACATCTGCCTTCACCGGGGCTCAGCACCACCTTCCTGGACCCTGGTGGTGAGCAGAGGGGTCCATGAGGGTTACAAACTGCTCTCCTTTTATTACAGGAAACATTCCACCCAAACAACTTGCACGCCAGGAATTACTTGACCTTTCTTGATGAGCAACACAGTAAAACCCTCCTTGTGGCACCATTCATAAATCCTAAAAAGAATCAAGAGTTAGAAGCACTTCCCTTTTCCACATCATCCTGCTTCCCATCCCCAAACCCCCAGAGGCTTACTATCCCAAGGATTCCCAAGCAGAGGAACCCCACGCTCTTCCCGCATCATCTACAAGCCTGCACCAAGGAATGCTTCTCTTTCTAGTGCTTGCTCAGATGAATTACATTCTCCTCTCATCCTCCCAGAGTCTCCCAGAACTTAGGTGGCAAGTACCCACTCTGCTTATCACTGTCCAAGACAAAGAGGGAGACACAAAGCTTTATTTAATCCTGCTGCAGGGAATTTCACAGAGCACAAAGCAAAAAAGAGGCTGTAATTTAGGAGTGGAGTATTTATTAATCAACCATTCCTTGTGGGCAGCACCGATTGACATGTGGAAGCTTTTTTTATCGCGCTAGATAAGTCTGTTCTTTTTCCAGCAGGAAAATAAAGGTAATTGTCAGTTTGAGTCCAATAATCCTTGGCACAAAGTGGATTTGGGAGGGCGGTTTGGTTTTCAGGATGGGGGAGTTGCTGGTTTGCTTTTTATATACACAATTTGTACTATCTAAAGTTCAACTCATCCTGAGAACAACTCTCCATTGATAACCCCCATTTACAGGACGGGTTACTCCGATCTTACTGACAGGCTGTGCCTCGGCAGCTCCAGCTCGTGGCACCACGTTCCATTCATTTGCAGAGACAAAATAAGCTCCTCTCACAAGTACACATCAGAATACTGACACAAATCGACTTCTGTCCAATACAGGCTAAAGTACCTGCCTGAGAAGCTCAAGCTGACACCACATTTGATCTAAACGTGCATTTTTCAGGGTAGAGGAAGTGCCTTCAAGTGAAACCACCGGTGACAGTTGTCCGCATGGATCACAGGTCTGCACAAACAGAGTCCTGAGGAGCTGAAACCTTCACTGAGGATAACTGAACACTCACTCCCCGTTAACACTGGACACTTCGATGACCAGGGCAGAGATCAGATCCTCTCTTAGCACTATTTCAATCTGACAGAAGAGACAAGTAAGTAATTCAGGACACTCAAGGGGACATTGCCTCTGGTTATCAAGGAACAAAACCAAAGCAGTTTTCAGATCAACACAAGAGAAGCACTGAGCAAGAAGGGAAACTGGAGGCTGCCTGTCAGCTTACATGGTCTCGGATGTCTCCAACCCAGGGCCTGAAGTTAGAGCAGAGTACACAGACTGAAAAGGGAAGTCTCAGTCCTGCACGAGGCCATGACAGGCCTCACAGATGCACATGTAGGCACAGAGAGTAACCCGGTTTAAACCAAGGTTTCCAGCTATCAGATACCAGCAGCTCTTTTCCCTGTATCTAAAATGTCTGATGCATACGCTGTGCTGCTTCCTCCTCTGAACGTTTTCTGGCCATCTATGTTTTCAGCAAAGAGGTAAGTCTACACATACAAGGATAAGCGTAATTCTGAGGCTCAATTTGCTGCCTACTCCTCCAAAGAGCAAAGAGTTGGGACCCTGTTGAGCCTGACCACAATGAGCACCTCAAAGTCTGTAACAAGTCCCTTTATTTCTGGGGGAAAAGAGACCCAGCAGCACTTGCTCAAAGCAAGTCAAAATGTGCCCAGAGACACGCAGATAGAGAGGCTCAGGCCTGTCCTCTATTAAAGCTCTATTGAATGTGAAGTTGATAATTCACCTTTTTCGATGCTGCAGCCACAAGTTTGGTTTTGACTGCTCTGTTGTTTGAGCTTTTTTCCTCCTTAAGGCTGTAACACACCCAAGAACCCCCCATTCTCCCATCTAATAAAGAACCCAAACAGCCCCACTTTTGAAATTAGCCAGAAACAAACGCACCCTCAGATCCATCAAAGAAATCATTTATACCAAAGGGAAAGTCACATAAACCAAAATAAACAGCCAGCCCATTGTGCAGGAGGGGCCTGCCACCGTTCCAACAACACAGACTCTATTCCAGGCCGCATTAAAACATCGCAAGCAAAATAAACCCAAGGTACAAACAAAATGCCATCGCCTCCTCTTTTGTTCCGAGGCACAATGCAGCAGGGGCAGGCGGGCCGGGGCTCCGCTCCCCGGTGCGGGGCTGCACCCAAGCGCCTCAAGGTCACGGCCGGTTCCGGTGAGGGGGCCGCGGGAGGCGGCGAGCGGAGCTGCCGTGGGTCCGGGGCTGGCGGAAAAGCCGAGTGTAAAAGTTTATGAGCTCATCAGGATGGTTGTACCATTACATCAGAGGCAATTATAAATGGCCAAGAGCAGGAGATGGGGAGCCAATCAGATCACAGATAGGATGTCAACCTAAGACCAACTGTCTCCTGGCTTTGACAGAAGGATTTTACCTCCATAATTCAAATCCCAAACCAAACCGATCTGCACTCACTGCTCCCATCGCCCAGCTCTCTACCGGCGCTCCCAGCCGCAGGCCCCGGCCAACGGCCCGCCGGGGAGCGTGGCCCCGCACAGCCGGGCCGAACCGCGGCCACCCCAACGGACCCCGCCGGGCCCCGCAGAAGGGTGCGGGCCCCCCCCGGGGCCGGGAGTGCTCCGAGGGGAGCGGGGCGGCGGGGCCGGGGGCGATGGGGCGGATGGCGGCGGCGCTGCCGGGGCCACGCGATGGCCCGGCCGGGCCCGCCCGCACCCCCGGCCCCCGTGCCCGGCCCCGCCGGCCCCTCACCGCCCTCCGCCGGGGGCGGCCGGTCCCGCTCGCCCGCCGGAGCCCCCCGGAGCGGGCCGGGGCGGCGGAGAGGACGGCGGCCGCTCGCCGGGAGCCTCGCACAAAGACTGGGGAGGGAGGAAGGGAAGGCGGCGAGGCAGCCATTTTAGAGCGAGCGAGCAAGCACAGACAATGGCAGCTCCCCGGCAGCGCCGACCCGGCGGGGGGAACCCGCGGGAGAGGCACCGCCACCCCCCCAGCTCCCGAACCCCTCGTCCCCCGCCACCCCCGGTCCCTCCCGGCCCCGGCCCGGCCCAGTTCCCGGTGTGTCCCCCCCCTCCCCGCCCGCCCCACGCGGCCCCGCCGTTACCTGCTGGCTCCTGCCGAGGGACTGTCCACCGCCGGCTCCGCCGCTGCTCCCGGGGCTCATGGGCGCGTGGTGGCTCCTCGGCGGGGCCCCGCCGGCCGCTGAGGCCCAGCCCTGGCTGCTGCCCGCGCCGTACTGCGAGACCATCTCGGCGGCGGCCGGGCCCTTGGCGGCGGCTCCCCCGTCCTGCGGCCCGCCGCTATAGTCGCCCCCGGGGTACCCCTGGTAGCCGCGGGCGGAGCTGGGGGAGGTGAGGAGCTGGTTGAGGGTGGGGGTGGCCGTGGGCTGCGGGGTGGCTCCCCCTCCTCCTCCTGCACCGCCGGCGGCCGAGGGCCCCATGACCCCGAAGCGCTGCTGCTGGAAGGCGGCGGTCGCGGGGGACTTGGCGCCGGCGGCCGCCGGAGCGGAGCTCTGCGCGCTGCCCCGGGGGGAGCTCAGGGCGTAGGCCTGGTGGGGAGGCGGGTAGGAACCGGCGCTGCGCCCGGCCCCGGCCGCATAGTAGGAGTTGTACTGGTGGTTGGGGAAGCCGTGCTCGGCGCCGCCGTGCGAGTTCTGGGGAGGGGGCGGCCCCGCGGGGGCTCCCGCCGGCCCCGGGTAGGACTGCTCCAGGCCCCCGCTCTGCAGCGCTGCCATGCCAGGGCTTTGTTGTCCGCCATGTTGGTGGAAGGCAGCGGCGGCGGCCGCAGCGGCGGCGGCAGCAGCCTGGGCACCGCGGCCGTAGGGCTGCCCGAAGCCGTAGGCTGGCGGGGGCAAGGCGGCCGGGTGGGAAGGGGGAGGCTGCTGCGGCGGCGGCGGCTGCTGCTGCGGCGCCCCCACCCCGTCGCTGCTGCCGCCGCCACCGGGCGGCTCCGGGAGGTTATTGTTCAGGGTGGCGGCGGCAGCGGCGGGCCTGGGGCCCGGGTTCCCGTTCGAGCTCTTCAGGTCGGACTCGGCCCCTGCGCCCCCTCCGTTGCTTTCGGCCCCGTCCTGCAGCTCCTTCCCCGTGGGGCCCTCGCTCTCCGCCTGCTTCTCGCCGCCGCCGCCGCGCTCTGCCGCCGCCTCACCCCCCGCCTCCTCCGGGGGACAATCCCGCTGCTGCGCCTCCGCTTTCTTCAGCTCGGATGGAGCCGGGGCGCCCAGGCTGCTGGCGGCGGCGGGGGCGACCTGAGCAGCCATGATCCCCCCCCTCCCCACCCAGCCACCCCCCCCCGGACCGGTTCCCCCCGAGCTGCTCCCTGCCTGGCCGGCCGGCGTGAGGCCTCGCTGCTCTGCTGCTCCCCGCTCAGGCGGCGGCGGGCTCTTCAGGGCAGCGGGGGCTCATTCCCCCCCGGCCTGGTTGGCGAGGCGGGGAGGGCTCCGCTGGGCTGGGCTTCCCGGGGCCTGGCCCCGCTGTACCTCCTCGGTTGCAGCCGGCGGAGAAAGGGGAGGAGGAGGGAGTGGGGGGGAAGGAGGAGGAGGTATGGGGGGGGTGGGGGGGACCCGGGACGGGGCTCCCGGTGCGGGAGAGGCGGGAGGGAGGGAGGGGGGACACGGCGGGCGGGCGGGCGCCGTCCCCGGAGCCGGGCCGGGCGGCGGCAGGGCCGGGCTGGGCGAGCCGCGCGGCAGCTCCCGACTCTGGTCCGCCGAGCGGGGCTCACTCCGACACGAGGCTCAGCACTGCCATTTTACCCAGCGCCGCGGCCGCCTGCCAAACCCGGAGCGGAGCGCGGCGCGGCCCGGACGGGAGCCTCCCCCCCGTCACAAAGGAGGAGCGGGCCGGCCCCGGCCGCTGGCGGCTCGGCGCGGCGGAGGCTGCCGCACGCAAAACCCGCAGCGGATCCGCGGAGCCGAGCGCGGCCGCGGGGCCGAGCCGAGCCGAGCCGGGCCGGGCCAAGTGCGGGGTGGGGGGGGAGCAAAGCAGAGCTGGCGGCGCGGGGGCACTTCCCTTCCTTTCCCTTCCCTTCTTTTCCCCTCCCTTCCCTCCCCTCGAGGGGGCCGCCCGTACCTGTCCGGGGAGCTTCCCGGGGCAGCGAGGCGATGTCCTCCAGCGGGAATCCTCCAGGAGAGCGGCAGGGCCGCGCCGCCGGCTCACGGGTATCGGCAGGGAGATGGCCCGTGGGTTAACGAAGCGCCTCGTCTTTGTCCCTAGAAATCCCATTTAGAATTAGCCTTTGCAAACTGTTAGCGGTTGTCATTTCCTCTCCTCGCCAGCTGTGTCCCTCTGGATGCGGCCTTGGAAGCGCTCCAGAACTGTAACTGCGCGCAGGGACAGCCAAGAAAGTCTGGTCCCGCTCCTGCCAAGGCGAGGGCAGTGGGCACGGAACCAGGGACTCCCTCAGGGCGGCTGCATGGGGAGAACCACCACCTGGACGTGTCTAGACACAACAGGTTGAGCAATGGGACAGGATGCGCTGGCAATCGCAAAGGGCAATGTCAAGAGGTGAACCAAAAATTAGGCCATGCTCTGCTGCAACCGTTTCAGACCCCAGTTCCCACCTCCTCCATCCCCACAGCCTTTTGCAAAGTGGGAAGAGGGAGGAAACGTACCTGGACTGCTGCCCCAAACATGGCCTGTCTTGTGCCATCAGGTTTGTCGTGGCATATTCTACTTCAAATGGCGTGGGTCTGGCGCAGAGCATGGAAGGTACAGAAAGATGAGTTAGTTGGATTATAACAACCAAGCTCACAGAAATGGGGACACAGTGGCGTGGTCAAAATGGTGGGACCCATGAACTGGGCAGGTGTCTCTTCTGGAATGTGGAAAAGTGACCTTTAAGGAGAGAGAAAACAATGGGTAGAGAGTCAAAAGATGCTTCTGAGGCCTAAGACTGCCATTTTAGAACATCACCCCAAAACAAAACACGGGGCAGAAGTTACCCCCATTACCAACTCTGTGGTGAGGGAAGCAAAGCCTAACAATGGGACACAGCAGGAGAAATCCCAGTCCCACAGCCCAGGTCACAGTGCAGAAACACAAGTCCAGCACAAGTAGTGATGCCCAGGGCTGGATGCCCAGGAGGGATGAATTGAAGATTTAGGTGTCTGCTGCTGTCAGCTGAACCCTCACAGTCATCACAAAACTTACAATATAAAATATTTATCACCTAGGATGCAGGTGGTGGAACAAAGGGGGTTATTCCAAAGCTCAGAAGTAGGAGGGCAATAAACAGCCACATTTTAAATGTATTTGAGAGCAATAAACTGCCCTTGCAGCTCCTGTTTTGTTCCAATGGACTATGCAATGTGGAGCAGGTTCCATCCCACCACACAGGCCAGTCAGTCTTTCTCAACTACAGAAAGAAAAGGGTAAGGAATAGTGACACTGGTATTGTGATCACACTCAACCACAGCCTCTGTGAAGGCTGGAGCTCTGGTACAGCGCTGGGATCTCACATGGGTGGCTCTGTGTGTGGACCACAGAACAACAAAGCCACCAAGATACTCCAGAAGAGTATGGAACATGCTAGAACACAAGCTGATCTGCACGCTGTATTCAGAGAGCTTCTGTTACTTGATCTAAGCCCAGGTTCTAGAAAGACAAGCAGAGGGAAAAACTCCTTCCCCGTGCCAGGCTGGACCCCCACGAGTGAGGCCCAGAGGCTTTCCTTACATTGATTTATGCTCTGGTGGGCTACAGTGCCTAAAGAGACCAAAAGACTCATTTTCAGTTTCATTTATGCTAAACTTAAGGGAAACAAAGATCAAACTGGAGAGATTTCTGTCCTTTAATCCCAGAAGCATCTCCCTGACTCCAAAGCTGGAGTCTACTTCAGGAAGCAAAGCCCCAGTGTCTAACCAAGCCCTGCCAAAAGTTTAATGACCACAGGTTGTGGCTTGGGTGCATCCCGATGAAGACCTTGCTCCCCACCTCTCTATGTGTGCCAGCCCTTTGGAATCTCGCTCTAAGAGCGCGATGGCAGACTCGGAAACCTGGTGCTGCTTGTGCTGTGAAGAGCAGCCCGGATTCCCCAGCCTCCCACACAATGGGAAGACACTCACTTTACCAAATGTTTGTGAAAGCTGAAGCAAGTTTTGGAATCTGCCTCATCAATGAGGGCCTGGCACTTTACTGAGGCACCCGGTGAGTTTCCAACTGCAAGGTTTGGGAAGCAGATGACAGCTCTTCAGAGCATTTCCACCTGAGAGCTGGAAATCCTCCCGCCATCCCGTGCTGCAACAACCGCCTTCCCATCGCCGCAACTTTCCATCGCGAGGCTCTTTCTGCCTGCCTGAGCGCTCCCTGCGAAGCGGCGTGAGCAGCCCTCTGCTCCCCACCTCCCCAAGTGCTGAGCACGCTTTCCTCCACAACAGGCTCAGCCCCTGGCTCTCAGATAGGCTGGGGACCAGCCCGGCGCTCTCACATGGCACCGCAGCCACCACCACTAGGCTGGCTCCTCCTGAGTGGAAGTCTCCTTCATGAAGGTGGCCGTGCCATTTAACCCAGCGCTGAGGCGCTTTCGGAAACCTGGTCTAGATTAGAGTACTCGAAACAGGAGCAGTGTCTTTCCCCCCTCCTCAAAAAAAATAAAAGCAGGCTCTGCCAACTGTGTGATGGCAAATATGGACTGAATCGTTGACATGGAAACCGGACTGAAGTCAGGCGCGCTCCCTCCCGCTCACACACACACAAGTTATCATTATCCCCGGCCTTCCCACTTGCTATAAACACGGACTGGATTAGCACGGCAGGAATTGGGCAGAGTTTCTAGGATAAAGTATTAACTAGCGCAACTGAGCCAGAATGAAAGGAGCTGGGATGGAATGAACACAGTTGGGTGAAGAAGGATGCTCTTCCATTTTAGTGAAAGGCACGGGGCTGCTGAGATATGCAGACTGGACCCAAGAACAAGAGACCCGTCTATTATAATTCATGGAGCATGCTGCAAAATATGGAATGGAGTAAGGAAAAGGTTGGCTCCTGTCCCTCAGCTTCTGGCAGAGTAGTTTGGCTAAAGAAAATTCAGTTTCCTCTAAATATATGTGCCCAGCTCGCTCCTTCCAGGATTTTAGCCGCTGTCACATCCATGTTAAGCACTCCCATTGCAGCTTCAGGAGTGCTGAGATTAATATTCCTGGAATTATTTGTTGGCTGGGAGCAGCTGATGTGCTGGGCTTTGTGTTAGACAATGCTTATTTACCCTCTTTTTAAAAGGAAAAGCTTAGATATTGTATAACCCCCTCTCTGGCACCGCCACAATGGCAGAAGGGCAGGGGGGAGCGTAACTCTTGGGGTTCAAAGGCAAGGAGTAGGTTTGACATGGGGTTTTAGTGCTTCCCACCCAGTGAGCCCCGCAGGTTATGAGGGGAAGGAAGCCCTGCTCCAGGCTGCTGTTAACGTTTGACAGGGAGCCGCGAAACTTTGGATGCGTGTGGAAGGGAAAGAGGACTCGGCCCGACTCGAGGAAATAAATGGATTATTTTAGCAGCCCTCGCTAGGAGGAGTAAAAGGCGAAGCGGAGTTTCCACAGAGGAAGGGACAACCCGGGGCTGGTGCCACGCGGGTTCGCTGCCCCATTCCCAGCTGCCCCCCGAGCCACTCCTGGCTGGTGGAAGGGGACAGGTGGAAGTTTTGGGGCACATGTGTGAGGATTCGGGGCTAAGCGACGCGAGCAGCGCTCACCCTAGCAATGAGAACAAGGCTGGAGCTGGGATTTCATCCTTCCCGAGAGAAGTGACAGATGCTGGGGACGGGGACAGCAAAACACCGGAGAGCAGGGGAGAGCGAACCGCACTGCTGTGACACGGGTGTTGCACTGCCGTTACACTGCCGTTACACACCACCAGCCCTCTGATGCTGCACGCTCGGGGAAGGGAGAGTAAATCTACTCGGGGAAAGAAAAACAAGGGTTAAAAAAGGCAACAAAACGCGGCGCGGAGCTCCTAAACCAACCCTGCACTGGATCAGGAGCCAACCGTCGAATTTCCCACCGAATCCCACCGGATTTGGGACCTGTCGGGTTGGCTTGAAGAGCAACCGCCTCCCTCTGCAACCCCCACTCGGAAGAGTTAAAAACACACAGAAAAGGCTTTTAAAGCTGCAGAAAGAACTCAACTCCAGGCCTGGCTTTTCCCACTGGTCGCAACTCTTAATTCAGTCTGGGGAGCAGGACTGGAAGCAAGAGCGGGCAGGAGAGCCCAGCCCCCCCCCCCCCCCCTTCACTGCTCCCTGCAGTGGAGGGTACCCAAAATCCCCCTTTCCCGTGAAATCCTGCCCTGCTCAAGTGTATTTTAAGGGAAGTTGGAGTTCGGGCGTCACGGCTGGGGTGGGGAGGGTGCTGCGGGAGAGGCGGGCGCCCCAAGGAGGGGGTTTACCCCCTTTTTCTCCCGCTCTCGCACTGCCATTTTCCCGAAGCGGGGAGGGAGCAAAAGGCAGCGCCTGCGAGGAAGTTTCTCACGGCAACTGCGGGCTGGATCGGGAATGGAGCCTTTTGTTCCCGGCAAGTTGAGCAGGAACGAGAGTTGGAGCCTGCTGGGGAGAAAAACCAGGGGAGAAATAAAATGGAGGGAAAGAGGAAGAGAGGAGGGAGAGATGGTGCCGAGCTGAGAGCCACAGCAGCGCCGGGCTGCTCTCTGCAGCGCGGCGTGATTGAGAAAGTTGCTGTGGTTGCCCGAGGCAGAAATCCCTCGTTCGGTGCATGGGAATGAGGGAGAGACCCAAGGACAAGCAGGGCTGTGCGGGAAGTGGAATTTTCCGAGGGGGTTCACATCCTTCGGAGCTCTTTTTGCCAAGATTGGATCTCCTGGCTCGATGAAGGCTGCCTCCTAGAGACACCAGGAATAAGGCCTCAAAGATGAGGCGTGCACTAGGCCTGATTCAACTAAATAATGAAGGATAGGGGGCACCTTCCCTTATAATTAGAGCAAGGTCTGAAGATGAGGCGTGACTCTGGGTCCTCCCTTCTGTTTCCCTTTCTCCCCAGTGAGTGTCGAAACACCACCATGATGTCTGAATGGGGTGAAAAGCCAACTTAAAACAGCCCCCCCCCCCCCGATGTAATGCTTGAATACATACCCAACATATCCATAGTCACAAAAACAACTGGGTTTGTCTCCTGCTACGCACTAATTCTGCACTCCAAACCCACACATACAGACCCAGAATGCCAAACACTATAAACTTGTCAGAATAAACCCTCAACTCGCTGACAAACATCCATCACTTAAAGTCACCCACGTAAAGGTGGAGCAGAACTTTAATCCCCTCATTATTTGTACACTTGGTGGTGGGTTCAAAAAGCCAGAGCCTGCTGCTGCCAAGAGTGAGCTTTTCACACAAGTTTGGGCTTTAGTGGCCTGGCCTGGAAATAGCACTTGATTAAAAATGTTAATCACCTTCTGGTCGGTGCGACCCTGACAGCGGCTCCAGCGAGGTGCCACGTGGGAAAGCAGAGTTTGGGATTTAAACGTGCTTTTCCCACTCCAGCCCGAGGGACTGAGAGCGCCTTAACGGGGGACAGGAAGAAATAAATACATTAAAATTAATAGATTAAAAAAAAAAAAAAAAGCCCTTTTCGTGGTGCTCAGAAGCGACCTCTGTGGCTGCTCGGGGAGTGAAGTTCACCAGCGCGGAGCGAGGCGCAGGGCAGATGCAGCGCGGTCCCGCCGGCTTCGGGGGGAAATTAAACAAGAAAAGAAAGAAATAAATGGGAACGGGGTGGGGGGGGGGGGGGACGGGACATACACGGGGAACGAGGACACCCCCGCTTGCGAAGCGCAGTGGGCCGCAAAGCATTGTTTGGAGGAGGAGCGACGCCGCGGTGATGGGCTCAGCAGCGGCTGCTGGAACGCGTGGCTACTGACAATGCCGCCCCACAGCCATCGAGCGCCACGGCCCCGCAGCTCCCCAGTGCCCCCCAAAACCCCCGGGCCGGGCTGGAGGATCCCCCCCCCCCCCGGAGCGAGCTCTGTGGCACCGGGACCCGGCCACCCCCTCGCGGGCTGCCCTGGGGTGATGGGGGGGCTGGGGGCTGCACTCCCGGCCAGGGCACCAGGGCTGCCTCCTCCCATTGGTCTGGAGCAGGGTTTGACACAGCGGCCAGGGCTGTGGAAGTTCAACGGGGAGACGGCAGAAGGCGTCACACGGGGATTTCAGTTCTTCACACGCTTATGGTGGCTTTAACTTTTGCATCTTTGCGAGCAATTAACAGCGTGGCTGTTAAAAGAGGACTTAAAGACACACAGACAGCAGAGGTGAGGGAACAGCAAACACCCCACCTCATCCATGGAGGCAAGAAAACACATTAAAACCTCCCCATTAATGAAGAGGTCCATTAAAATAAAGCTTATTTTTGCTATGGTTATTTCTGGTTGTTCTCCCTCCTCCACCCCAACTTTGTTTTACTAAAGCAGGGAAACATATACAGAAACCTTGCCTGCAGTAAATGCTGCTTTTTTTTTAAACGGAGCCCAGATGCTGGTCAGGATTAAGGTTACACCAAACACATTCTACATTGCCATTTTCCAAACAGAATGAAGCAGATGGAAAAGATGGAAGAGGATACAGGAGGAACGGAGCACCACTGAAAACTGCAAGCCCTGCACTGAGAGCTGGAGAGGAGTGAAGCCGGGCATGTGGAGTGTGCCTATTGCATTCCTCACAGCTAAAATAAGTAGTTTTAATTAAACAGCTGTTGGAATTTGGGCTTTAAACCTTCTGTTTAAAATGGGAAAGGGAAGTTCAGCTGCAGCCGCTCACTGGAGTCTCCTCAGGGCTCAGTCCTGGGAGATGCAAAAGCCACTGGCTTCAGGCCACCAGAGTACTTAAGTCTACGGGTAATTTTAAACATCAGCAGTACCGGTGATTCTAAGCATATACTCCCTTAAACTTAATCGTGTGCTCAGCACTTTGCAGGATCCACCCAGGATACTCATCCCAGCTTCTAGCTCAAGAAAAGGAGGATGTGCACATTGGAGAAAACAAAGGGAAAAAAAATCTACTTCTGAAAGGGGATAAAGAGGTTTGGGTTTGTAAAAGATGCCAGTTCATCAGTATGGGGAGCTCAGCTCAAACCAGGATCAGTCTCTAGGGAAGTCAGCTGAATCCATGCTTCTATGTAAAATACCCCCATTTGGCAAATTCATTCTAGTACTGAAGGTGAAATTCTGCAATAGCTGAAGTTTCCTGGGACTCAGGTCTTCTGATGGGCTTTAAAATCCCTCACAAAACTGGATCTTCAGAGATTTTGTTGATGTTATATAGGCACACACACAATGCAGAGAAAGAACATACAAACTACGAACTATTCGTGCTATGGGAAGAACACTTGGCAATGTCCCTTCATTTCAGATGTACAAAGGTAGGCACTAAGAACTGGTCAAATATTTAACACAATAATTGTAACAATCAAACCTATGCAATATTACTTCTTTATAAAGGCTGATAGTATCATGTGTGCCTTCAGCAAAACAAAGGCATTGGTCAGAATTGTTCACTTCCTCTGAAAACCAGAATCCTGAGCTCCAGACATGCTGAGGAATTATAAAAGAGAGATAGTTTTCAAATATTTCTAAAAATATTGATTATATCTGGCAAAAAAACAAGCAAACAACCAAACAAAAAACAAACCCACCTAAAACAACAAAATCCCCACTAACACTGATGTGCTCACATTCCTGTCTTCATAATCAAGTACCAGAGCCCAGCATGCTCAGAAAGATTCATAGAATCATAGTGTTAGAAGGGACCTTAAAGCTCATCCAGGTCCAACCCCTGCCACAGGCAGGGACACCTTCCACTAGAGCAGGTTGTGACCAACCTGGCCGTGAACACTGCCAGGGATGGGGCAGCCACAGCTTCTCTGGGCACCCTGTGCCAGCACCTCAGCACCCTCACAGGAAAGAGCTTCTGCCTTGTATCTAACCTGAACTTCCCCTGGTTTAGTTTAAACCCATCACCCCTTGTCCTGTCATTGCTTAAGAAGCTTTTCATTACTAATTTTTTTGGAAAGGACTTTGTAATACTTGAAAATTCATTACTTTTTCCTGTATCTATAGCTATGATATAGCATCTCTCTTTAAAAACACAAAACCCCACCAACAAACAAAAGCCAAACCAAACAGCACTTAAGTTGTGATACAAATGAGTGATTTTTTTCTCCTACTACCTCCAGGGATACAAAATAATCTAAAATTGACATCCTGTCATGGGGAGAAAGGAAAAAATCCTCCAAAAGCAAGCCAGAGATTTGGAAAGTGATGTCCAGACAACCAGAGACTAACAAGCCTGACCTCAGTGAGATGTAAAACTGGAGTTATTTTTTCCCTGGAAGGGGAAAAGATGTGGAGGAAAATAAAGAGATAAAATTCAACATAGGTTTAACAAAATCAATCATGCCAGACAAATCTGATGTCTTGCTTTGATAAGGAAGCCGAGTTTTCTTGGTAAAGGAAAACACAGTTGATCTCACCCATCTAAAATTCAGCAAAGCATCTGATCTGGTGCCACATGGGAAAATAAAAGTTAAACTGGAAAATACGAAGATTAGCCCAAGAAAGGTTTTGTGGGTAAAAGAATGGCTGAACTCCCCCATGCTGAGCTGGGTTGGAATGGGTACTTTGGGCTGGAAAGTGAGAGCTTTCAAGTTCCTCCAGCATCAGTCTCAGAACTGATGCTGTTTAGTGCTTCTAAGTGACATAAGTACAAGGAATTGAAAGAAGTTCATATAGCTCATAACTGACAACATCAAGAAGCATCAGTACAGAAGACTGGAATATCCTAAATGAAGAATTGGATGAGGTTCTGGAACAGCACAGGGATCCTGAGGAATGCAGTAATAAGATTAATGCAAATCACAAGGCTGTTCACACAGGGACTAACAGCCAAAATTCTTGTAAACTGGGAACTCATCAGAGTTAACAGAGAAGGATGAAGCTCAGAAGCATGATTTAGTCATGGAAATGACTGAACATGGCAAAAATGAAGATGACAAATGTGATCTAAAGACCAGGTGAGGCACATCCAGATGTTCTGGCAGCAGCTCTCTTGCAGAATCTTGGGTACAGTTTATATTCAAGAATGAAAACTAGAATAGGTATAGAATAGGCTTCCTAAAATGGTTTTAAAAGCAAAGAATCTATCATGAGGAAAGACTAAAGTTTTATTTCAGTAACTGCATGCTTAAACCATACCACTCCAACAAAAGAAAGGCTGACATAGGACAGTGCTACTTTGTACACACAGGTTATGTCTTGAACACAGGTATTTAAAGGGTTATGTTAGCACCAAAGAAAGTCCTGAGGACATGGAAGATGAGAGAACAGAATGTCTTATTATGAGAAAAATTAGATTTTAAAAGATCCTTCTGGTGGGGCTACCAGGGTGAAAGGGGCTGGTTTTATGCTGGAGCCTCATGTCCTTGTGGCCAAAAAGAGGTATGATTGAAAGTCTGATGTGAGGCAGACAGTGGAGGCTCCTCAAGCCCAGTGTTTGGGGGATAACCAGCACCAGCAGCTGCCTCCAAAATCTCACCTGTAACTTCATGCATGATGAATGAAGTTTACTGTGGCAAGTTGGGAATCTGTTTATTGTCACGGTGGAACAGACAGATGCAGTGGAGAACTTTGACAGCTTTGCATCAGTGAAACGAGAGGAAAATCTCTTTGCAATGTTGTGAAGATACATTTATGGTGGTTAAAAAGTATTCAAATGCTATAATGAAAAGCATAATGAAAATCTATTACCATTAGTAATTCTGTATTTACTACAGCACTTGAATTATATGCAATAAAATATGTAAGCAAACATCAAATAACAAGGATAAAAGCAGAATCTGAAAACAAACCATTCATGGAATGAGACAAGAGTTTGAGGAGGCAGTTTGTATGGTTTCAATTCTAATTAGAGACTGCATCATGGTGCAAAGAACTGGATTCAGATAGGCAAAAGTATGAGAAACAAACACAAGAAAACTGAACACACTGCTCAGATCCCTCTTAAATTCATCTGGGTCACAAGAACATAAAGAGAATGAACTAATGAGAGTGAATAACACACAGCCTGACCTGGCCCTGGAGTACACACAAGCTTAGCAAATCCTCCCATCACAGAATGCTTGGAGGGAGAACTAAACAGCGATCCTTGTAGTGAACCTCAGCAGTGAGATGCTCCTCTGGTTCTGCAGGGAACTGATGAAAGAACAAGCTTCTCGAAGGGTAAAGCTTTCCAAAAAGCCAAAGTACTGCGCTACCCCAGGAGGTATTTCTAGTTTTCACTAAGGGCTTTTTGTTTCCATCATAAATAATATCAATAGGAATATGTATCACCTATCTCTTTCCATCTCCAGTCTCTTAATTTCTCTAGACAACACATACCTGATCCAGCAATACTCTTTAGCAAACCACCCAAGGCTGCCCTTCTTGGGATCTCCTAGTCTTAACTGTATGACCACTGGAGATGGTTTTTTGGTGATTCCAAACACACGGCCTTCCATGCTGTCAAACACTCCTGCCTTGTATCTGCTACCTCCTCATGTTTCTATAAGCGACAACAGACAGGGGCATGGAGCTGAAAATTCAGCATCTTCTATTTGGGGACTTTTTCCTTCCTTCTTTTTCTTTCTTTTTCGTTTTCTCCTTTCTTTTCTCTCTCGTCAATGCTCTGATAGCTGCATGAAAGACCAAGAGGACACCTTGCATCCATAAATAGTATTTTCATGTCATCGATGTTTTGGACAAAACCAGAATCCTGTAACTTTTCTGTTGCTCTTTTCTTCTTTCTTCAAATGCTTTTCAGCTTTAACTTTGCTTCAGTTCACCTCTAGCAACTGTGCCTATTACACAGACATATTTACTAAGGCTACTTTACATACACCCATGCCAATTATCTTGCTCAGCTCAGTGTGGGTGAAGCCTCAGCTGGAATATCATATCCATTTTCAGATGCCACATAAGAAAATAAAACCAGATCCAAACCAACTGCAAAGAGCACAAAAAGCAACAAAGATGCTGTGAGGAAATCTACCCCCAAGAACAAAGTGAAATACTGGATTTGCTTCATGCAAAGAAGAAAAAGGAGAGTGCTCATGTGATGGCTGAGAAGGGCCAAATACCAATAGTCCATTTTGTTACAGTAAAGGTCATCAATCAAATGTTCATGCCCACTGAAAGTATAACAGGAATAGACTTAATTCAAGATTTGGTAAAGTAACAAAAGCGATGTTTAAACAATTAAAACACCAGTATGGGAAGTTGTGGAACACCCTGCACTTCAGATTTTGTTAAGGAGAGGATACACAAACATCCCTATGGGATACAGAGAAGCATCTCCCTCCTGTCTTACAGTCAGCATGGGATCTACAGATTGGGATCTACAGATCTCCTAATGTCTGACAGCTACATTTATTATAGCAAATACAGGAAGAAGAATAGTGGTGAGAAGGGAATATCTCAATTACAAAAGTGGACTTTTAAATGAAGACAATGCCACTCAGGGCCACTGTCCATTCTGGGCCACCATCTCGGCTACCATTTCAGTAAGTGACTTGAGGACTTCCCTGCAACTGCCAGCTCCAGAGGAGATGAGGGGCTACATTAAGTGCATCACATATGCAAACAATCCCTATGCACTCTGAGTTAAAAGTTTACAAGGCATTTCAGATTCAGTGTTTCTTGGTTTATTAAGTTTATCTCGCTAACTGAAAATCTTTAGATACACTTTGGTTGAAAAGCTTCACCTCAGCCCACAGCAGCATGACATCACCTGCGGTAATTGTTAATACAGACCCTGTTCCTTTGATTAATTTGTTCCATTACCTCTTGTTCATCAAACTGCATTTTCCTTATAAAATGGCTATTTTTACACTGGACATCCATAACACTGAAAGTGTGTCTCCACTCCTTGCTCCCAGCCACCTTTCAGTGTCTTTCCCTTCCCTGCCTCTACAAATGTTGTACAAATCAGGGCAAGCTCAGGTTTCTAATGAGTTTGCTCTGAAGAAGTTTTGCAATACCATTCTACACCCATGCAATGGCAAATCACCTTCTCTGATGAGCAAGGCCATGTACAACTGCTAAGAAGTTGTTCTCTGTGTTCACAAATTCTTTCTTGGAGCTCAACAGACCATGCTTAGTCCCTCAAACCCCACCCCTAACCCTTATTTGATCACGGACAGTGCCTGGGGAAAACTGGGTAATTTCTTATGCATTGCCAAGCTTTCCGACACAGAAGATCAGCACCTTCTCCAGATACATACATAAAAAATAACATATAATCCCATGAAACATTCCTGACATAAAACTGGCTCGTTTTCAGAAACGCTGATCCCCCACAGAGGGCAATGGGCTCCTGCCTGTTAAGAAGAGATGTTTCATATTCTGCCTCCACACAGGTTTCTAGGAACACGATGTTGTCCCCCCAGTGTTTGGCTGCCACTTGTGGCCATCCCAGTGCTGCACCAGTACCCGGTGCTATCAGTCCCTGCTAGCTGACTACACCCAGAAACAGTACACGGTGAGTAAATCGCTCATAGAAATTCTGTACAGAGGTAGCACGTTGATTACATCTTCCTGTTTCTCTTCATGTGTTTCTTCTGCTATCAAAGCAGCAAAAGCCCTACAAGGCACACAACTAAACCTTTCCACCTGTGCAGCCTCACAGGAATGTGCACTGTAATGGATTTACCAGTTTCTTCTTCATGCAACCTTGCTGCATTTTGAAAAAGAAGTTGCATAAGCAAAAAATATCCACGGATGCCAGGAGAAAAGGAATAGTTATTTGTCAGGGCAACCTACAGAATCCCCCAATTCCTGAGAATTCCCTGTCAACACGCTGTGAACTCCCCCCCATAGAGCTGAGTAGCAGAACAGCACTCCATGGGATAACTGCCCAGAATATGTTGAGAGGTAAATTGATACAAGAAAGCACCGTGCACCCGATTAACATTGAAAATACCTTAAATCAGCATAACAAAGTGGGGTTAGCTGCTTGTGCTCAATATAGTTAAAGAGCTGTAATTAGATCAAACAAACCAGATTGATGTATCTTCCCTTTGTAGACATGGCCTCAGAAGGTAGGTCAGGAGCTAAGTTCAGTGAAACAGTGTTAGTGCTGCAGCTTTTATCTAACAAGACACAGCTACACACTCACTCAAAAGTAAATACTGCTGAATTCCAAAGAAAAGGAGTTTCTAGAGAAGACAGCATTCTTTAATAACAACCTTAGCTTTGTCATTAATAAAACTCTCCTCATTGATTTTATAAGATACCTTTTGGATAAACAACACACAAAACGTTGGTTACAAATTCATTTGTGTCAAGGCATTTGAAGGTCCTTATTCACCTTAACATCAGTGGAAGTGTCTACACAGGGTGAATTCTAATTTGTTCTTTCAGAAGCTTTTAATTAAGAAAATAATGTAGAACAGCATTGCATGAAATATGGTCACTCAATTTCAGAGATGAGCAAGACATAAGGTAGCAGATGGTATGAGGAGGATATATGTGAGGAAATGTAAATAGTAGGGAACCTCACAAAATCAAAACGTAAGGCAGAACTGAAAGTGTGTGCAAGACCCCTGGGAGAGCTGAGGAGACAAAGCAACAACTGAGCTGCAAGATACCAGACCTTCCTTACTCAGAAATGACAAAACACCAACAGGAAGCTCTCGTCTAGCTGAAGGGAAGACCCCTCATAATGAGGGAAGTTGAGATTGTTGTGAAGGGTCCTTAAAGTAAAGGTGAAAAGAGTGGAGGAAACAAGGACAGGGTTTGCAGGTGCCAACAAATGTATTCGTCAAAACACTTTTTGAATCAAAAAAGAACCCCTGAGCCCCCAACTATTTCAGTATTGTAATAAGTAATGATTACAGAAGAGCTAGAAGTGGAATATAACCTTGTATTGAATAAAGACAAGATAAATTGTTTAAATTAGGCAGAAGATCAAACAAAGCTTGGAAGGGTTTGCATCATCAGGAACAGCCACAAAGTTGTGACGGGATCAGGGAGAGATGAAGCCTGTACATGAGCACCATTTGGTCCAGGACCTGCCCTCCAAAGCCACATGAGCTGCTGTGGTTGCACAGACAATGCAATTCAGTTGAATGTGTGTAAACCAGTAACTATTCTGAACATTTATGTTTCAAATACTTGTTAGAAATTAGGAAGTAAAGCAGTTGCTTCCTCTTCTCCTGCAAGATTTGTTCCAGCCAGTGACAGCCCCTTAGTGAAGCCCATCATTAGTTTATGAAGTCATTAGAGTTAATACCAATATGGGAGGCAGGGGAAGGAGAAACTAGCGACCTGTGTGAAGTCCACATTCAGAAGCTGAAGAGCACGTTCTTTCTTTGCACCAAAAACATCACTATCTTAAAGATGTCTTTACATGGCTCCATCGCCAACAGAGCCACCAGACGAGATGAGCAGGACACTGAAATGGGGTTGGCAAGGGGGCAGTTTGGTTGGCAAGTCTTAGGAATTGCTAAGAACAATGGCTGGGCCACAGATTTTAACTGTTTACTAATCACTAAAGGTTAAACTTGGGTTAATAAAACCTGGGAAGAGCTGCTGATTTGTGAAGTGGCCCTTCCATGCAGCTGCAAGGACCAGCACATCAGTGCCACGAAGTTAACAAACCTTGTTCTGTGAACCGAAAGTGCCGAGCAGACACCAAAGGGCCCAAGAACCTGTCTGCAGCTACTGAAGACATCACTGCATTCTGAGCATCAGAGGAAGCATAACAGTGAGAAGATGGCAGTACTGTTTGCAAAAGACACTGCTAAAGGAATATGGAGCAGCTATTAAATAACGCCACAGGATTGCTAAGCCCATGGAAGTCCCTCCATCATGAAGGTGCATTTCGTGCCTCCTCTTGGCTCATGCCAAGCACACTTCCACAGCAGAACACCACGAAGTTCACTGAGTCTAAATCACAGTGAGTCTCATTTTGTATCTTCTTCTGCCGTGAGTTCCATTTGTCTGGGTGATTTATGAGGTGAACTCCAGCTATGCAAGGCCTCTCTCTTCTTGAATGGAGGAACAATTCAGATAAGAAAGAAATCTCTTCTGAGTTAATAGAGGAAACTGGACTTAACTGCATTTACTAAGGTATTTATTATACATCTAGGCCAGATGAAGCTTAGCACATTTAATATATATAAGACTGCAGATCACTGTCTAGGAAGAGCAAAAACCAAAAAAAACCCAGGCTCACAAGTTTCTTAGTAATTTAAGCCACTAAACTACCAGAAAAGCCACAGTTGCTGGCAGTAGCAACGGATATCTATCAATTCCAGCTTGCTGCTTTCGGCAACACACAGGAATTGAGAAGCAGTTGGCTCTGCGTGCCCTGAGATACCTTCAGGCTGAGGGGCAATGTGACTGCATAACCCCCAACAGGCACTGCTTTTGTGGCTGTGGAGTTCAGAAATTGTCTCAAGGTTCTCTGTCATGAAAGACATCGTATGCAACTACAGAAGAAAAGACAACTACAACTTACAGGCCTGGTCCTGTAGAAGATGTGCGATCTTTGATGACTCAGCAGTTCTTGAGGGGCTCATGAGCTCTTTGCAGATGGGAGCCCAGAGCTAGGAGATAATTTGCAAGAAATAAATCTCTACGTTGTAACTTATCACTTCAGAAAAGACCACGTGCAGAAGTCTTAAAACTCAATGAAATCACAGAATTAAGAATTTCAAGCGTAAAACCCATTACTAAGTCATCCAAGTCCATTTACAATTATTGATGGTAAATCCATCTACTCCAGATGGGAAGAGGTCACTCTCTTCTTTTTCCAGGGCAAGTCTATGAATAATTTGCGTGATTAAAGCTCAAAGCAGGTGTGAAAATGAAAAGGACAAGGGAAGCACATAGGAAAGAAACTACATTCACATGAAGATACTTGGCTTTCATTCTCAACCGAAAAAGGCACCTTCCATCCCCCCCAGTCCATCAGCCACAAGATACAATGAGTTTGTACCTTTCTTTTACAAAAGAGTTGTCACTTTTAAAGGCACGTTGAAATCTTATTTTTACTTTTTAGGTCTTCCTTCTTCCACCGGAGATGACCTAAATTTGGAGCTGAAGCATTCACAAGGATCCTTGCTTGGAATATAAAACAACAGCAAAAGCATCAGCCTGCAAAAAAAAAAAAAAAAAAAAAGGAAAAAAATAGGAAGGAAAATTACAGTGAAGAGCTCCCCGAATAACAGGAGGTCACAAACACTGCAGAAAGAGATGCTGAAGCAGTACTATCCAGAGAGAGTGGACACAAAGTGATTGCATTTACAGAAACCCAGCAGAGGACAGGTGGGCAGGATGTGAATCTAAGCAAATGGCCCCAGTTCTGGGAATACCCAACAGTTCTCAAGATTTCCCCTCAAATATATTGTATTCTTTGTGCAAAAATGGTCAGAGACACCAAAATCCAAGAGTCTCCTGTTAGGAAAAAATAAAACTTGAAAGCTTGCTAAGGGAAGTATTCAAAGAGAATTAAAGAGCTCCAGAAAGGAGGCTGTATTTTGTATGGCAAACACATCTAATCAGTAGTGCAGAGCACTGAACATTCATGCAGCTCATTATTTCAAAACCAAACCAAAACACCCCAAATATACTTGCGCATCCATTTCTTTTGTTTTATCATCCTTAACAGTCAACAGAAACTAAGATTATAATCTGTGCCTTTTTAAAATTCCATTCAACAGATGTTCAGAACCAGACCGGAGCCAAATTTCAGTTCCCCAAAAGGATATTCAGGCAGAGAACTTGCACAAATGGATGCTAAAGTCTCACTTTCCCCCTTGTAATGATTGCTTTTCTGAGACATCAAATCCTCTTTTAGCCTCATTTCAGGTTCCCACCAGCAGAAAATGTATTTTTCATTTCCATTTCCTATAGTATTGTTTTCCAAAAACGGCACTGATGTTCCCAGCACAAGACAACTCTCCTTCACTCCTTTTTTATGTCATCTCCTCAACGTGAAGTGATTGTCTCAGTGGCAAAGCTCTCTTCTTTGAAAAAGATGAAAACAAAACCCCAGCTGGTACTAATAAATATTGACTTAATGTAAGGAAAAAAGGAATTCGACAATTAAATATGAAAATTACAGGGGAAAAGAATAGGTGTTTGGAAAGGCAAGGCTGTGAGCAGCGCAGTCCTTTGACAAGACCGCTGCTCAACAGCTCCTTCTGGGACGCTGTGAGGTGACTTCTTTAAAAGTATGGTCTAGAAATACCCCCAAATCACAGAAATTATACATCACTTGAGGGTTTCAGATGCTATACAAAATGAAGAAATACCAGGACACATCATGAAAATGGTGGCATGAAAACAGCGTTGCACTTACTTGCCTGTGCTAATGCGGGAAGGGGGGCTGAAGGGAAAGGTTTTATTTTTACTTAATTACTCTCAGTGTTCACTGGGGACTCCTTCCAAAGTGTGTTTTATATTTGGACCTAAATGCAAGCAGGATTCAGCCTTGATCTTATTCCTTACGACAATATGTTTCTTAAATTAGAAGTCCCACAACTAGAATGTTGTCACCACCATGAACGTTCCTCCACAGTACCTCCACAGTCTATTAACCAGGATGCAGTTGGCACTGGGGAGGGGAGCAAGAGATTGTTTATAATTAAATTAAAAAAGCACTCAGAAAATAACACTTTTTAGGCTTGCAGCATCTTTCATCCAAGGATTTCAACCTACTTTGAAGTATAAAGCCTTCAAACACCTAAAAACCACCCCCAAGCCCACCCAACTTTAAGGTATTTTGGAAATGATAATACACTGAGCAAGCATCCACCTGTGATGCAACGACAAGAGTCTCCTACTGCAGCATTTCACACATATTCAATCCACCTTCTGGTTACAGCTCACAAGTTTGTGGTATGTAGAAGGAACAGCAAAGCTGGTTAAAGATTTTCTCTTGCTTCACATACTCTGCAAGCTTCTCATTAACTCATACATGACTTTCATCAGTGCTGAAGCACACGCTTCTTTTAGCATGCATCAGAGCTGGTCTGGAAAAACCCCTCCAAATATTATTGTAACCATTAATCAGTAAAGAAAAAGGCAACCTTTTTCTAAAGTGACCGCCGATTTTTCTATGTAAAGGGTTAAACCGACCTTCACTGATCCAGTAAGAGCTAATAAAATACAACTTTAAGGGCAAAAAATGGAGCACTTCAAGAACATCATTATGAAGAGCTACATTCAAGCCGACAGAAGACAAAACCTTAAAGCACAGATGCTTCTAAAACAAGAGCTCACACGTTTTAAAAAGCACACTACCAAGCGCTTGTAATGAATAAGCAAAACGAGAGGGGGTTTCTTTCCCCCTTGCAGGGCTGTGGAGCTGCGGGTAAAGGGGGCATTCAGGCGCTGCGCTTGCAGAGCCAGCTGCATGCCTTGCACTTATGCAGGGCTGTGGAGCTGGTATTGGTTGGTAGCGGGGAGGGAGAGCACAGTAAGCCTGAGAAAAACCCATCAGAGCTCCTGTCCTCCCCTTTCAGCGTTAATGGGAGGGATGGAAGTCTATGGGAGCTGCAGTGGGGGATGGGGCTGGCAGAGGGGGTGGGGAGAAGCAGAGCTCAGGCCTTACAATCAGCAGCAGCTCTTGTTCTCCTCTCCTTTTCAGCGTTAGCAGGAGGATGTGAAGCTCATGTAGCTGGGAACGGGATGGGGGGAAGCGGAGCGGGATCATAGTTTAGCTTTTGTCCTCTCTCCACAGGGTTAATAGGAGGACACGAAGCCTGTGTAACTGGGATAGGGGGAGGGGATCAGGCCTTAGATCACAGCCCCCTTGCCCCGCTCTCCCCGCAGGGTTAACGGCAGGATGTGAAGCTCTCGTCTAGGGGCAGCTTTAGGGTTTTGGGGGGGTCCTGTGCGAGTCAAACACCCGCGGGGGAAGAGGGGGGGGGGAGGCCAGGGGAAGCCCTGGGGCAAACTTCCCTTAAACGTGGCGCTGCGTTTGTGCAGCCCCGGAGCTCTGCTTATCCCTTTGGAGCCTAGGACCTGCCCCTGGGGTGCCCGTGGCC